TCGAGGGTCTTTTCTAAAACACCTCATGTTCGAGGGACATGACAGTTTAAATCTGAGGCAACAAGCGAGATTATCCTAGAGGTGCAAGTGTGTAAAATATTTTGTTTTCAAGTATTTTATCTTTGAATTAGGGTTTTCTAGGGTTGATTTTAAGTCTTGTCATACAAACCCTAATTACTATCAATAATAAGGAAAGCGATAAATTGCGGAATTTAAATGTCCTACGCTATTACAATGCTTTGGGAATGGGGGGTACAAGTTTGGGAATAGAGGGAAGAAAACAATAAAGCCCTAATTATCTATTACAAACCATTGAACATAAATAATGATAGAATGTACAAAAATGTAAAGAGAAAGAAATTGTTTTTTTTTAGGGTTTTTTGATGGAAAAGTTTAAACCTAATCAAGCTAATTAATTTTAATTATAAGAGAAGTTGATTAATTATTCAACAACAACCTAAAATCTAAGTTAATTAAAATTAATAAGAAAATGAAACCTAAGTCTAACTAATTTTCTTTAGAAAATAATTTGAATGTTAGTATTAATTTTGGAAAGAAAATGTTTTTTACAATAGAAAAGAAATGATAGCATTTAATTTTAAAAAAGGAAATAAAATGCCTAAATTAAAATATGTTTAAATTAATTATTTAAGAAAATATTTTTTGGTATTTTTGGTTAAATAAAAGTAAATAAATAAATTATAGAGAGAAATAAAAAATATAAAAATATTGGGTTGAGATATTAAAAAAGTAAAATGGGGGTCAAAGTTAGTAAACAGGCCCAAGATGGTTTTTGTTTGAAATTAGAAAAACAATAAAAATAAAAATAAAGATGTGGGCTTGTGTTAAAAAGAAATTCAGGGGGTAAGAATTAGCAAAAATAAAAAAGGAAAGATCCCAAACATGATGGAGCCTAGGTGTTGTGTGATCAGGTATGGTTGATTTCTAGGAGTGTATCATGGGCTGCACATGTGGTGCATTGGATCTGCTTGTCCAATGAGCAGGTGGTGTAGAGGAGAGGAACATAATGTGCGCTTTTAATTTACTTGCACCTTATTAGTATGAAACAAACATGAAAATAACAAAATGTCCCACGCCTGGCTCGAACCTATGACCAGGCGTAGGAATGCCTTATAAGCGTGTACTCTGCCATTGGGGTGGCTGTTACATCTGGTAGTAATGAAACTTGCACTAAATTTAGAATAAACTCAGTCCTGATGATACTTCATCCCTAACCTCATGCTAGAAGCCATTGTTACATTTTTGTATTTTGGAACTTCCTCATTTCTCAACAAAATTAGAAAATGTAAACATGAAACTTGTTCCATTTTTCACCACGAATTCAACCATGTAAATAACTAAAGCTATAAATCAAAGATGAACATGAATTTTGTTTGGTACCAAATAAAACCTAATTTTTTCCAGAAAGTTTAACTTCAAAATTCACATCACTCAGGCAACATAAATGAAAACTAAAGGCATAGTTAGCTTCAGGGCAATGATGTCTACATTTTTCATTCACAAAATAACCATTAATGATGTTTGTAGAGAGAGTTCAGAGTTGAGAAAACTTACCCCAAAACTGGAAATTATGTATGGAGTTTGAGCACTTCTGGAGGTGTGGTGATGATATGAATAGCTTCACTAGAATCCTAGAAAGCTAATGCAACTCTTACTTTGTGCTGAGAGTGGCAGAATCTTCTTGGAGAAGTCAAGCTGCAGAGCTGAGTTTTTGAGTTTGGAGGATGATGAAGATGTAGTTAAAGTTATGAAACAGGGGTGGGGATACGTTCTAAATGAAGTATGGAAGCTTTGTGATTGATTAGAAATAAAAAGGCATGATGTAATTAGGAGTTTGGAGTTTATGGTCAATATGTGCAACAATGGAGGTTTGAAATGCAAATTCCGACTTCACAACATTTGAGGGTGTTTCAAGGCTTCTCAACTCGTGTGTTAGGTTGCAAATGACTTGTCTATTTATAGAGAAAAGGTTTGGGAGCTTGAAACAATCAGAATCAAGAGATCACATGTTATGGTTATGTGACTTGATTTTGAAGCAAGCTTGATAAACATGGTTCCAATGCAATGGTACAAGGCTTGTAGGGTGTCTAGAGGATTTAAAAATGTTGCTTCTGAGCATACATGTTGAGTGTGATCAGAACAAACAAGTTAGAGGCTCAAGACAAGTTGACTTTATGATTAAAGTCACTTTTCCAAAATGGAAGGGTGAACTTTGTTCCATTAATGGAATGGTCACTTGGAAATTGGCTCAAGCTCTTGGATTATAGATTGATTAGTTGTGTAAAAATATGATTATGGATAGATTTGCAAGTCAAGAGGCCTGTAAAGCAAGATTATGCAGCATAGTTGTGGGATTTGGTTATGTGTTCTGCATGAAGATGACCTAAAATTCAAGAATGGATGTCCAACTTCATCTCTTCAAAACTTCTAGCTCAAGCATGATCTCTTCAAGTTCTTGGACATTTTGGAAAGCTTGAAACATTGTATACAACCTTCATGTTAACCACTTTGGCTAAATCAACTTGGAACTTGGTAAACAATTGTCAAGAAGTTAGGACAAAAAATCTGCCTAACTTGATAAAATTTCACTAAGTGTTTTAATAAAAATATCATGACTTCATGAGCCTATATCTTCAAATCTAAGAATTTTTTGGAAATCAACCCTAAGGGAAAAATTTTGTAGAATTCATCAAGATCTTCGACTTTCATGTTGAAAGTTTTCCTTGAATCATTTTGCATCTTGGTGAAAAATTGTCATGAAGTAGTGAAATTATCAAGGTCAAAAACACTTAGAATTTTTCTATTGGAAACTTTGACTTTTTGTGTATTTTCTTGATTCTTGTTGACCAAGTTTGACATTTTAGAATGTCTTAATGAATCTTGATCTTTGAAATTCAATGTTGACCAAAAAGTCAAAGTTTGACTTTTTGTGTATTAGTTTACTTTTCATCAGTTGATCAAATTTCAACTATCAATCCATTGATCTTGAGAAATGATTTGAGCCATACAATTAGGTTAAGATATTGTTTTTGAGTCCTTGATATCATGCTTCAAGCCATTAGGTCATGTACTAGGTCAAAAGTCACTGATCAGTCATTCTCAGTCAAAACCCTAATTTTGACAAATTTGCCTCTTTGATGATTTGAGTGCTTTTCTTGAGGAATTGTGATCAAAACTTGATAAATTGATAAATATGACTTCAAAATGTTAATGTTAGCCAAAAATCATGAAGTTTGACTGTATGTTGACCACAATTGACTTTTTACCCAATACAGTTGATTTTCAATCATCTGAGCCATTAACTGAGTAAATTTGTGGTGCAAGACTTGAAACTTGGTACGAGTAATCTTGGAGGCCTATAATGAACCATGAAAGTAATTTGAGGCATCAAAAGTCCAATTGTCCTTGAGAAAACCAAAACCCTATTTTGTGGACTCAGTGCTTAGGAGGTGAGCTTGTCTGATCAACTCTTAAAACTTCTTGAGCATTTGAGATATTTTGTGAAAAATGTCTTAAGAAAAGGGAGGGAAAATTTTGTGATACAACAATAGTCCTACACAAAGATACAAAACTATACAATGCTAAATACTCCGCTAATGTCTCATGGTGCGAGAAATCTCTGTTGGAAGCTTGCACAAAAATACAACAAACGAGATAGAAATTAACAAGGAAACATAACTCAATTCAAGCGTCAATTCATGATCAGCACCTACGATTAAAACACTCATCGTGACAAGAAAATTGAGTCTAGGATACGAAATCGACAAAACGTGTTTAAATCCTAATTTTAATCATGTGTCAAACATTAATTCAATTAATTCCTAAAGCTAATAGAAAAATTCTGGAAAAAATATCACCAAGTCAGAGATCAACATACTAATATTCACACAAAAATTCAGCCAAAAATTATGAAAGGAAGTATCAAAATTAATTGTTTAACAAAACAAAAGTTCAAGAGAAATTGAGAATTAGTTGGGAGGTGAAGTGAACTAGTAAATGGTGCTGCAAACTAAAGCTAGACGCTGAACCCAAATAGTAAGGCCCAAGAGTTTTTTGTTTCAATTCTTCAAGGCTTTACAAAAACGCACCTGATGGGCTTAGAAGGCCTCAAATTCAGTCCATAGCCCCTCTCAACAATCAATCATTTTCCCTTCTTTTCCAAATTCAGTCTGCCATTATTATTTAATATACTAGACAAATGATTAAAAAAATAAAAGGGTAAATATGTTACACGCTTTATTTTGTGAGAAGGGAGTTAGATTTGAATTTGTGACGGTTCATATCTTCGAACATACTCCCTTCGTCTCTCAATCTTAACGGCGCGTCACCCCCAATCATCTTCTTCTCCTTCCGTTGCGACCGATCAAACACACCAATGTAACCACACCGTTCGCTGCATCTTCATCTCCATCTTCTCTTCTTCGTCTTCTCATACTTTCCGATTCTCCCTTGTTTCTTTCATGCATCGGATAACTCTGGTAGCTCTTCAACAGCAACGATAATCAAAGAAACCCAGAGTCAGCTGCGAAATCCAGATGATGATAACCTCTTCCTTTTACTCTCTACACGAGCTCATTCTCCGTCTTTACTCATACGTTTTCTTCTGTTTTCCTCTGCAAGTTTCTGTGTTCGTATATCCGAGTTTTGCGTTTATGTTTCTACTATCAAGGCAATTTTGACGCAGCGATGCAGTATTTTAATGAAGGAAATTGCTGTTGCCGTCGTTGATATTATAGTGATGAAGTTGTTGCAATTTCTCTGCATTGTTGATGATATCGTAGAGTGATCTTCAAGAGGAAGATGAAGGATGATAAAAGAGAGCAAAGTGAGGGTGTTATACGTGAAGCTTGAAAGTGATTCTGTGATGAATGATGAAGATTGTGAAGAGTTGAGATGAAGGTCGAAGGTGAAGATTGCATGATTTTTTCAGAGAGAAAGATTGGAGAATTTTCTGGTTTTTGGTGATTCCTCTAAGGAGAATGAAGAATCCCCTGATAAATCTGGTGAGTTCTGTTATATAGTTTGTTAGAGATTAGAAAGTTAGTTAGAGGTTGAATTGATTTGAACTGTTGATTTCTGAGTTAGTTACTAGAAAAATGGAGAGTTGAGATCGAATCTGAGTTTCTGATTTTTAGATATTTTCCTATAGAACTGGTTTTATCTGTTAGCTTACTTTTCTTGATAACTAGATTGGTATTTTTGGATTGGGTTTTTTATCAGTTTCACGATTTCTATTATGCCTTAGTGTATCAGCAGGTGATTTTTCCAGTTTGGATATCTTCTCTGCATTTTTACTGGGCTTTTGAACTGATATATACTGCTTTATGTGCAGGGTGATCTTTTTGTTGAAACAGGGCAGCAATGCATTTTATTGTGTATGTTTATACAGTTTGGATGTTAATCAATTTGTTTTTAGATTTAGATGTATATTTCTGGTTTGATATTTGAGCATGATGCAGGTGGAAAGTATGCAGGACTGAAGTATTGCATAGAAGTTTTTCTGAGCTTTTTTTGTGATTTTCTGAGAATGAATGAAGAATGATAATGGTGGTGAATGGCATATGAATCTAGGAAAATGGTGAAATGAAACATGAATCCGATTTTTTGGAGGGAGTTGAGGTTATATAAAGATTGAGAATGAAGAGAAATGGTTATGGATGAAGTGATTAGAGTTGTTGGATGTTTGTGAAGTTAGATATAGGATGGAGGGTGAGGGTGTTGCAGTTTTGGAGGGTTTTAAATTTGTTACGAAAATGAGGTAATTAGTTTTATGTTATATATTGATAGTAGTGCCATAATTTTGACAAATTACAGAATATTATGCGAACACGTTCAAGCTAATGTCGATTTGGTATTGAATTTATTTCTAAAAATTACAGGAGCTTATGCACTATTGTAGGTCAGATTATGCGAGAAGGAAGAGCAAGATTTCATAGAATTAGATAAAAGTTTGGAACAAGTTTGGAACTGTTTTGGCGGTCGGCCTTTTGATAAGCTATAGCATCTTAAGGAACACATAGGCTTAGGATAGATATATAAACTCCTTTTTTGTAATTCTCAAAATGTAATGGCAATATGACTTGCGATTTATAATTCTGAAAAGAAACATGGATGAGACTTGTATGGTTATGAAACCTTTTGGATGAACTTGAAATAAATTTGAATGATGACTTGTATGATTTGAATGACGAAGTTATGAACACTGATTGAATTTAGAATCACTTTGAGTGAATTCTTCAATGAGAACCCTTCCCCAATACAATCCAAAACTAAGCATGAAAGAATTACCTGCATCTTTAATGACCCTATAATTCAATTCACCCTTGTATGAAAAATGACAAATACTTGAAATAATGACGATGCCTTTGAACTCTTGAATAAGGTCTTGAACGAGTTTTGAATACTTGAAGCATCGACACAACCTTTGTAACTCAAATCCATATGACCTCAAAGCCACAAACATTCCTTCTTAATCACGTTTTCCTCTTAAGAATTTCGGTCGCATTGAATCCATGGCATAAAGTGATCACTTGAATGAATCCAAATCAAATTCCATTCTTAATTACTCCTAACTTCGATTCTTAAATCCATATCAAACAAAAAGTGAGAGAAGTAATAATGTCTCGACCACATTGGACCCACAAGTTCAACATCTTGTACCACAACTCAACGTCTTTGCAATTCAAATCATAAGTCCTTGACTTGAAAACCAATGACCTCAATGCCAAACTAACCTTTTTTGAGGAAATTCCTCGACTCAGATGAAACTAGAAGCATGACAAGACATCCATGTGATAAAACCCTAATTTCATGAGATACATATGGAAATAAACCCTAATTTCTGGAACTGATGAAACTGGACGGAGAATGGCCTTATAGCTTGATGAAGAAAGAAATTCTCAATGACCACAGATCACAACCCTAATTCCACTGCTCATTGCTTGAAGAAGAAATCATCCTTTATTGGATATATTCATCTCAGTCAATGACAATCCTAACTTGCACAATCATATAATCTTTTGTACCATGGCACTTTATTGAATGCAATGTTATGCTACGCAAATGACCTAATGAAAATATGTGAATGTGATGCTAAGCCTAAGTCAGGTAAAACAAATTAGAAAGGAAAATTTTGGGGTACAACACTCTTGTCTGATATGGTGGTCGCAAAGGCTGTGCTTTTCTTCTACCAATGGTTTAACTGGAGAAGGTTTTGAAAAATGATAAGTTTTTTGTGTTATGAATTTATGAGATACAAATGTTTGTTGTAAGTGTTTGTTGGCAGCAATTTTGGTAACATAATGACTTGATAATGTTTTGCTAAATGTCTTAACATTTGGAGCAAAACTATTTTGTATGATGTCAAAGCAGATGTCTTGACATCTGCCTCCTGAACTGATCTCAGCCCAACATCAGTTTAAGTTTTATGTTTCCTGATTTCCAGCACTCCATAATTCAAGATTTGTAACTCACAGGCAGCGAAAAATATGGAGGAATATTTTTCAAAATGCATGGATTTTATCTTGACCTGTTTTTATGGAAATATTCAAAAGAATTGAATATTTGGTTTTAAAGCCCAAGCCCACAGCTGCGCATATATAAGGACTTGCTTCCTTGTTCAAATGATAGCAACTTTTGAAGAAGAATACTTTCTTTCTGTTTTAAGAAGTCTAAGTCTTTTAATTGTCAAACACTCTAGTATTGATTGAATACTTGTTTTGTTATTTGAGTTGTTAATTGTGTATCATTCATAAGCTTTTAAGCATTGAATGATTGAAGTGTTTTAAACTTATTATTTCTGTTAGTTTTTCACTTTGAGGGATTGAAAGGATTTGAGGAGGGCCTCATACCTAGGTGAGTCTCAGGTAGAAGTTTAGCACGGGTAGTCATTAAGTGATTAGATCGTAAACTGGTTGTTTACTGAGGGTCTATGAATTGATACTATATAGGTTTTGCTTTTTATTAGTGAGTGTGTAAAAAATAAATACGCAAATGAGTACAGAAACAAAATGCCTTTATTAAAATAGTAATTGTCTTTAAAAGAGAATACAATTCAGATATTGAAAAATATTCAAACTTTGAAACAATGAAACTTGCTGAAAGAAATAAGCAAAGGGGAAACAAATTTCTTCTAAGTGCGTCTGCGGATATCTGCTCTGAAACCATCGACCATTTTTCTGCAAAGCTTGAGTAAGTCTTCAACGTCCTTTAGGAGAGGAACCAACACGTTTTCTGCGTCTCTCAAACTTCTAGGGATATCTTCGATAAGATTGTTAGCTAAGAAGGAGAGTCTTACATGCTTGTCTTTGTAGTATCGGTATTCTCGATAGAGGTCCGGAATTATCTTGTGATTATGTTTCCCCGCTTTGACGATCTTCACATATTGCTCTTTCCAATACAACTTTTCAACCCACATCTCCGTATAAAGTTTCCATTGTATCAGGAAATCTTTTCAGAGGCCTTCTAACTCAAGACATACTTTCTCGTATTATTTAGTCTTTTGGATGAGAAGCCTTTCTGCCCTCATCCTTTCAAGGTGTTCCCCTATCTCCAGTTCTTGGCTATCCTAGAGTCTGATGGTGAGATACTTCATTTGTTCTTCTTGATCTAAAGAAACTTGCACCAAACTTTGTATTTGAGCCCTTAGGTCTTCTTCCATCACCTTTTTATCCTGCATTGTCTTTTCATACCATCTATTTAACCTCCCAATTTCACTAGCAGTATCCTCCAACCTTTGGTTGTGGGAATCCAAGTTGAAAGTAGCACTTAACAACCCTTCAGTCGAACGCTTCCGTTTAAGACTCTCCTTCTCAAATGCCTCACGATCTCTATGAATTTGTTGATCTTTTGATTTAAGTATGTGCTGCTTTTGTCTTTTCTCCTTAGTTAAGTTATGGAGGATAAGCTCCAATTCTTCCTTTTCCCTTTGAGCTTGTTTCAAAGCATTCTTCAAATCGTCTATTTCTTCAAAGGACATAGATGGAGTATCTAGGACCTCTAGTTTGTACTCAGGATCTATGTCAAATGGTAATTTGAAAACTCGTACCCTATCCAAAACCCATTGAGTGTAGGTCTCTTTTGCCACAACATTCTTTCTTTCAGCCTTTCTTTTATTAACCCTATTCCAAGCCCGGATGATCTTATTGAGCAACTCGTGGTCGTTTTTGCCCATGTCATGAATGATCAATTGTTAAAGTTGTTCATCTGAGGGTTTATCTTCCAAAGGATATCTTAGTTGTCGTAAGGCCAAGGTAGGGTTGCAATTGATACAACCTCGGGATCCAATCAATGGAACATCCGGAAAGTCTCCGTAACTATAAATGATATCTCCAATGTCCAACTTCCTTGCATACCATAACATAGAATTAGCGGCAAGAGACCTTAATTTTTTAGGTCGCTCATACCTTGTCAGATTGGAAATCATGTAATCTTCTTTGTAGAGATGATTCATAAACCAAGAATACAATAGTGGAATGCAACAATTTAGAGTACCCATTCTTTTTTCGTACTGCGTAGTGATGGGATTTTATGAAAGGTACCCTTAGAAGGTAGGCTCCTAGTTTTGACCTACGTATTTTCTACCCTCCCCATAAGGTTGTTTCGTTAAGGATATCATGAATAACACTAGAGGGAAAGGCACAAGGGTCTCCCTTAAGTAGAGCCTCTCTGCAGACTGGAACTTTTGTCTCTAGGTCATGAAAGGTCTCATCATGAGATTTTGGTTTAAGGGTTGTACAAAGAGTTATAGGTTTCATTCCAAAGTCCTATCCCCCCAAGAGAATATCTCTTGAGATGTATTCCTTTCGTGGAATTCTACCGACTCTAGGCGAAGTCGTCACATAAACTCATAGGGCTGATGTATCCCCCTGGCTAATAGACGAACCTTCTTTCTAAGGGTTTTGAAAAATATAATTTTTGAAGTAATAAAATCTCACCACAGATGAATATAATGAATAATATAATAAGAATAAATAAATAAGTAAGCAAGTAAAAAAAACCTAAAAACAAGAAAAATCCAAAAAACCCTAAAACCAAAGAGAAGGCTTTTAAACCCTAGGGTTGAGTCTCCAGCAGAGTCGTCAGCTGTTATAACCGGCTTAAAAATGAGAGTCTCCACCATTAATTTTTATCTTTAAGAAGGGAATATAAAGGATAACCCTAATTTGATGAGAGATTCTAAGTTGTTGGGCTCGTTCTTAGACGAAGGGAAGGTGTTAGGCACTCCTTGTCTACCTTGCTCACAAGGATACTAGGGTTTAGAAGAGCAATCTTTAAGAAACAAGATTTTAGTTTTTTATTAGGGAAACTCGCCACGATTTTAGTCATGTGCCTACGTATCCTCTTATGAGGAATCAAAGTTTCAATTCGTAGTTCGCAGTGGGTTGGTGTTTTTTATAGATTACGAAGATATTTAAATTCTCCTTGTACTTAGTCTGGATGTGTGAATAGAAGAGTTTTTAGATGAAGTGCGCAGTCAATTAAAATATATTCGTAATCCTTTTTCAAAATTGGTTTTTGAGTTAATTTGATTTAATAAAAATAGTTTATTGTTGGTTGAATATTTTTAAATGTATTAATTATAAAAATATCTTATTAATGCATGATTTAAAAAATAATTTTAATGCAATAAAATAAATATTTGGATGAGTTTTGAAAATAAATATTTGATTTTATAAATATATTAAAATATAAAAAATAAAAATTATAAATAAAAAATAAAAAAGAATTAATTTAGAAAACGAAAGGGGGTGCAAACTGTATTGGTCTAGCAAAACATGGGGGTGCAGGTATTGGGGCCCTGAATTCAGATGTTGAATTCAGGCCCAACGCAAGGGGGTGTAGGTTTGAACTTCTTAGCAAAAGTTGGGAGTGTAGGGAGTAAGGGTCCAAGTCCAGATGTTGGACTGACCCATTAGGCTGAGGGGGTGTGATTTTGTAAGTGATAG